ACAAAATTAAAGTTTTAACCGAACTTTGTAAGTTTTATTTGAAAATATTTAATTAGAAAAAATCGTTAATCGATTAAAACTTTTTTTTCAAAATATTGGATATTTTTATTCAGTTCGATCCAAGAAATATATTTTATAAAAAAAATATATTTCGCGCGTAAGTATTTGGCCGAGCTTATCATCCATACGTCCTGACGTTAATGGAGCAACCTTCAATCCTACACTGCTTCCAAACGGCAAATGATTTTATGAGAAGTTTTTACAAGGCAGAAATACGAACGCTGTTAGAAAGAACTTTTCCCAAACTTTTTCTACGGAGTAGTGGTACACAAATTAGTAAATTAGTAATTTCCAACCAAAGCACGATTTTTTATTTGAAAAAGTTTTAGTTCAAAAATTAGAAACCGACTTTTTTATAAAATAATTCTTAGCTCTAAAAGTATAAACAAAATCAAATCGCTCAGAGAAATTCGTCGAAAGAAAGTTTGCTGCCAAAATTAAAGCAAACTGCAGTATATGGGATTGCCTACAACCAAAGCCACGACCAAGTTCGTCTGACGAAATTCTGCAAGAATAGATTTATTTTTAATTTTGCCGCTGCCGCCGGTCACAAAATCAGCTCTCAGTGGAAAAGTAGCTTTGTTTCCCCATTTTTCTAGCAGATAATTATTAGCAAAAATCAGAATGGCAAAATTTGGTGATTAATCTCTTCGATTTTGTATTTTTATATTTTTTGTTTTTCATCCATTTGATGCGAATTTCGTTTCTGCTCTATTTTACTGGGGAAATGTTGCTGCGAATATCACCCGGCGGCATCGCTTCGACCGACGAAATTCGCACAGCGATTTGGTTCTGTTTATACTTTAACGCTACTAGAAAAGTTTTTTATGCAACCAAATATTTATGTAGTATATTTTTTAACCGATAACTAATTCCTTATTAAAAAATTAAGTTCCTTATTCTAAACTGAAAATTTATATTTTTTTTTCTTTTTTACTTGAGAATCATGAAGAGTTAGCAAACAAAAATATTTCACTGTGAATGAAAATTTAAGAATATACAAGAAATTAAGAAAATATATTCCAAAAAATTAATGTTTTCATGTAAGAATTAATTTTTTTAGATAAATCAAATTGTGTAACAAAAAAAAATATCTAAAAAGCTTTTGATATCTCAAATTGTGAATTTTTGAAATAATTTTTTATGCACTTTAGTTTATAAATAAATAAAGAATTTTTATAGACGCAACATAAAATAACTTAAGTTTAAAATAATTTATATTGAAAGCGCATGCAGGTGTTTAATTTTATTTATAGAAAGCAAATTAAATTAATTTTACTACGCACACATAGCAAATTTCGAAACAGAAAAGAGAATTTAGTAATATATAAAAACAGAAGTCATTCTAACAAAAACCATTCGTTTTAGTATAAAAATCACTTTAGTACTAGTGGTAAAGGTTATAAAAAATTGCATTGTATGGTATTTTTTAGTTAAACTTTCGTTGGTGTTTAGTTCATCCAATTAACACAGTCACTACTATATAATATTGAATTATTCACTGGAATTTCGTGTTTCGCTTAAATTTTCATTTCTTCTTTTGCACAACATGATGCTTTCTTATTGCAACATGAATGTTGATTCTTTGCATTGTTCTTTGAATTTATTTAACATTTTATAGTAGGGGAAATTATATTAGTCACAATTTGCTATGAAAAAGTTAGGTTAAGGTGCAACACACGCAAAGAAAAAAATTGTTATCAATTTCAGAGGTTTTCCCTTGACGGTTTTGAGTGATTAATAAATTAAATTTTGTGTGCCTGCATGTTGGAAATCAAAACAAAAAATTGTTAATGAATATGCAATTTGAAAGGATTTCACTCCCCATTCACTCTGCTGGAATCGCTGAAATGGAT